GCAGCCTAAAATATAGTAAAATAAATATTTTTAAGTGAGCTAGGTGGAATTAAAGTGCTGTAAAGCCCTTATGGAAAATCTGTGAGACACTTATTTCCTATTAACCTCCAGAAAACTGGAAGTGGCACTGTGGCTCAAAGTGGTAGAGCTCTAGCCTTGAGCAAAGGAGCTTGGGGACAGCGCCCAGGCCCTGAGTTCAAGCTTCATGACCAACAGCACAACAAATGTAAGTAACAATGGGAAAAATTGTAAAAAACATAGTAACATGATAAAATATAGCAATGGTTACATTAAATGGAAATGGACTAAAATTAATTTAGAGATTAATGGTCCCATGAACTGGTAGGACTATATTGGAAATCTCTGGCACTATTTTCTATAGCTAAAAATGTGCATACTCTCTGATCCCCTATTTCTACTCTTCGGTATACACCTCAAAAAGCCTATATATGTGCTTTAAAAGATATATTCAAGAATGTTCCATACAGCATTATTTGTGATCCAAGGCACTCAGTACCAACCATAGAATGGGCAATTAAGTGTGCTGGATTTGTAATCAGATGCTGTATAAGAAAGTGAGCGCCTGCTATGCACACAATTTGGATACTCTCTTGGGCATCATATGGCATGAAAGAAATGACACAAAATGTACATAATGTGTTGCTCCATATTTATAAAGGAAAAAAATCAACTATGAGACAGAAGTCAGAATAATTACATTTGGCGGGAAGAGCAATGACTTGGAGAGAACACACTGGAAGATTCGAGAGTGCTGGGACAGTTTGTATCTTGGTAGAGGTGGTGTTATATGCGTCATTTCGCTTTATAGAAATTTGTGCACTCTAACAAATGTGTGTTATACTTCCAAAAAAATCTTCTAATATAAAATTTCCTCTAGTATTTCTTGTGAATAGTTCCATTTACTACTACCAAGATAATCTCATAATTAGGAATAAACTCGACTAAGGAGATGAAGACGTTGAATATTAGAAACTATAAAACATTACACACAGAAAAGAGTGGCACATGCCCAAAACACACTAACATTTCAGGAGATAGAGACGGAAGGATTATGATTCAGAGCAGCCCAGGCAAGTTAGTAAGATGCCTCCATTTCAGAAACAAAATACAGAGCAGTGGTTGCCAGTGGGCCTCAAGGAAAGAGCACTAGGGAACTTGCTTTGCCTGCGCGAGGCCCTGGGTTCAGACCCAGAACCACCCCCCCCCCACACACACACACACATTCACATACTATCAAACATGTCTGAAAGAAATTAAAGAAGACAGAAAAAACTGGACTATAGCCAGTGTTCATAGATTGGAAGACTTAGTATTGTTAAGATATCATATTATCCAAAGCAATCCTCAGGTTTAATTCAATCCTAGGTAGGCAAATTCATCTTAAAATTTCTATCAAATTTAGAGGGACACCAAATAGCCACAGCCATGTTGAGAAGGAGCAAAGCTGAAGACTTCATTGTAAGAAATCAAAACAGCATAGCACTGGCAAGAAGAAGGGCACAGAGGCCATGGCTCACAGACACAGTGTAAAGGAAGCATGATGCTGGCCATGAGAGATGGGGAGTGGGCAGGTTTCATAGGGAGGCCCGGGGAAGAGGGGGTGGGCATATCAAAGCTGAGGCAGGACTTCCAAAAGATGGTGGCCAGGCCACTGATTTCTTGATGTGTTGGTGTGGTCTCCAGGGTAGAGTTCCTTCCTGACCCACGTGTTTGCTCACTTTCCTGGCAATGATGAGAAAAGTTTGCCTGGAGCTATAAAAACCTTCAGTTCCTTCTTGTGGGGAAGGGCAGGGGTTGGAGGAGAAAGAAAAAAAATTATCATAAAAATATGTGTATTAACCAGTGGCTCATGCCTGTAATCTCAGCTACCCAGGAGACTGAGACCTGAGGATTTGGGTGTGAAGCTAGCTCAGACAGGAAAGTCTGGGAGATTCTTATCTCCAGTTAACCAGCAAAAAACAGAAGTGGAACTATGGCTCAAGTGGTAGAGTGCCAGCCTTGAGTGGAAAACCGAGTGAGAGTGTGAGCCCTTGCGTGCCAGCCCAGGACTGTACACAAAATACACACGTGGAAACCTGGGCACGGAAAGTGTCTTGGCTGGTTTGGGAGGTAAAACGACAGTTGTGAGCGTATTCAGATGTCTGTTCCTGTTACCACGTTTTTTCATGCAAATTTGTAATAACAAAACCTAAGTATACTCATACCTTATGCATAAAATACCCACTCACCTGTTTAAATTAAGCATCACAGCCTAGGTCTCAGGTGCTGGGTGAGTGTTCATACTTGTTGGCATCAACACTGAGCTGCTGGGCGGGGGGGGGGGGGGGGGGGGGGGATGGGGAGGATGACCCTTAGGCCATGATTTAGGAATTGGGAACCAAGAAATGTTGCCGGGGCTGTGGACTTCATAAACCCAGTGAGGGGCTGGGGATCTTATAGAGACTGACAGTGATCCTCAATCTGTTTATTGGGGAAAAATGGAGTCTGGGTTGCAGCATTTGGCTCCCTAGCCCCCTTCACCCCCACCCCGTGGTGGTAGCAGAGGGGATAGACAGGCTTGGAGGCCATGGTGCCTGCCTAGGAGAAATACCAGGGCCTGGCCCATGTGTGAGCAAGAGAAGGGTGGAGCTGGGAGGGAGGGTTACAGGGTAAGAGTGCAGGCTCACCCGCGGCTGTGAGGATGGGGGCAGGTGACTGAAGGTGTATGTGCAGGAAAGTCCATGACCAAGGTGGTGTCCAGCATTGAGACAGGCTCTGATGATGACTTGGGGTGCGCAGGGCAGGCAGAGGAGCTGGAGGGAGCTGTGGGGAGCAGTGGACATGTCCCGTGGAGATGTGGGAAGAGTTGGAGATAGGGAGGTGGGAGGGAGCTTGGGGGAGCAGGCTGAGTTACACAGAGGGGGCGATCCTGGGGTGGTCCACAATTGGAGGTTTGCTGGAGCAAGTAAACCTCTGAAATATGCCTATGGGGTCCTGAGCAGTGGGCCTGGGGTCTCCAGGGGGGCAGGGGACAGACAGGAAGCAGAGAGCAGGAGGGGGAGAGGTGGGGAACACAGGACACGGAGAGACCCAGGAAAGTGAGGGTGTGGGGCAGGGGAAGGAGGGCTGGGAGGGCCGGGTCAGGTGGGAAGGTGGAGACACAGGTGGAGGGCCAGGAGATGGGCCGGTGCGCGCGCGTGGGGAAGGCACAGGCTGGCAACTCTCCCTGGTCCCCAGCACATCTTCAAGGCAGGAGCAGTCAAGTCCTTCCCGTCTAAGAAACTTCCGGGGATTCTTTCCTTGGTCATTCCTCCACCTCATCTTTCCTCATTTTTCCTCTCTGTGGGGCTTCCTGAGTTCCAGGTCACACACTCTGGCTGGCTCTTCTCATTTTCCCGCTCTCCTCTCTGTCACACTCTGGAAGATTATTTATACTCCAGCTCTCATAGTTTCACATTTTTATCCTATTGTCAGTGTGCAAGATTATGTCTGTGGATAGCCATGCGCCCTTCTCTCACAGAGGCTGTTTCTCCTCTCCTCTGTTCCTCCTCTCCTATGCGCCTCACCTGCCCTGCAAAATCAACATCTTTTCGTGAGCTTCTTCCCAAGCACCCAGCTCCACCTTGAGTAGGAAGCCTGGAGGGGAGAGTTACCTAGGTCTGTACAGTGAGCACGGCTTGATAGTTACCTTTGCACTGCTTTCTGCCAAAATGTCAGTCTTGTCTTTTCATGGTGCCATGAACTTCCCAAGAGCAGAGACTGTTTTTGGGAATTAAGTACAAAACAACTGACTCAGTCATTTTAGGGGCTAGAGATCTAGATCCGTGGCCAAGCACGTGCCTAGCAAGCCCAAGTTCCTGAGTTCAAGCTAGAGGACTAACAGAAACAAAAACAAAATAAAATCTGAACTTTATGGTGGGTGTTGACAGTGTACACCTGTAATCCTAGCTCCTCGGGAGGCTGTGGTATGGCCATCACAGCTCCTGGCTGTGATCTGAGAAGGCTGTGTGCTTCCTTCCCCCACTGAGACCCCGGGAGCACATGCTCAGCAGGTGTTCACTGGTTTGAACTAAATGACTGGAAATCACAGGAGTCCACAGAGGGCAGTGGGACAGGAGTGTTTGTCCAGTGGCAGGAGACTGAGAGACAGAGTTCTGCCCTGGGCTGGCCTCACAGAGCTCAACGCCTCCGCAGACTCTTCCTGGGCACTCGCAGCCTAAGTTTGATAGGGAGATCAAAGAAAGACAGCTGTCTCTTCTCGCTCCTATTTCACTGGTTCGTGATGTTTTCAGCATGCTAGGCAAGTGCTCTGCTACTGGAGCCACACTCCCAGCTCTTGTGCCTTTACTTTGTTTTGGAGACCGTGTTCTTTCTTCTCTTTGCCTGGCTAGCCTCAAATTCATGATCCTCTTGTTTCCACCTCCCAAAGAGCTAGAACTACTGGCTCATGTCACCACACCTGCAGCGTCATGAGATAATTCACCAGGAACAGTTGACACAAGTGAGCTTTGGGCTAGCCTTGAATAGAAAAAAACTAAGGGACAGTACCCAGGTACTGAGTTCAAACCCCGGTATACACACAAACACACACACACACACACACACACACACACACACACACACACGTGTCCATCCTTCCCCATCCCCCTTCGCCTATATCCATAGTCTAGTGACTTCCTTCTCTTCTCAGCCCGCGGGCAGAGCCACTGGCTCTCAGAGCAGACAGCCCCAACAGCCCTTCCCTGCACAGCCATCAGCGCCAGTACCATGGAGCGACAGAAGCACATGTCTGGGCTGTGAGCCCCTTCAGCTGACAAAAGCAATAGGTCTTAGGGCTTTCCCAGAAAGTCTTTATTGATGATATTGATTAAAATGAGAATAAAGAAATAGACCCTGAGCCTTCCTACATTTTCTCTACAAAAAATAAAGTAACTCGGTAGAGGAAGCCAGTCTGCTCAGCCCTCAAGTGTAATAACACTGCCTCTCTCTCCTTGTTCTAGGGACTGCTGTGGACTGTTTGGAGAGAATGGCTTGACTTTGAAGGTGTTTTTTACCAAGGCTGCCCCTTTCGGGGTTCTCTGGACTCTGACAAACTACCTGTACTTACATGCAATAAAGAAAATAAACACTACGGACGTCTCCGTGTTGTTCTGCTGCAACAAAGCATTTGTGTTCTTGCTCTCATGGACCGTTCTCAGGGACAGGTTCATGGGAGTGAGGGTAAGTTCCTCTCCCTGTCTGTCTCCCTTCTCTCGGCTCACAGCCCTGTTCCTCCCCGCCAACCACCCACCCCCAACCCTGCACCCACCCATTGGCTTGCTTGGCTCCCTGGGCTCGGCTGGGAGGACCAGCTGCTAACCCCTGGCCTCTAACTTGCAGCAGAACCGGAGCCCGCCTTGCGCTCCCCGCTCACGCGCGTGTGTTCACTCATCACCCCACGCATGCCCCCAGCTTGCTCCGGAGCCGGTGTGAGGCCTGGCTCTCCACTCCTCGTGCCACTGTGTGCCGGTGACCCCGGGGTCACTCCTGGCGCCCTGTCTGTGTCCCACGGCCCTGAGCTCTCCGCTGATGTCGCTGCTTCCTGGTCGGGGTGCGTCTGAGACCTGGGTGTCCAGGCCCATGTGAGTCTGAGTGCTGAGTTTGAACTGAGCAGGTCATGGGTCACCTGACTCCCACGGGCTGCCTTGTATGTGACAGGAGACGTAGTACATTTCCCTCAGGGCTAGTCAGATGCCACAGGCATGTGTGAAGCGTGACAGAAACCCTAGCACACACCAGCTGGCATGTGGTGGTCAGCCCTGAGGGAGGGGCCGGGGTTCTGACTGGCTCCCCCTGGTGGCTGGGAGCTGTAACTATCCACCAGGGAGAGGGCTGGTCAGGGCACTGTGGCCTCCTGCCCCGAGGCAGGGAGGGGGGGTGGGGCAGACCCCAAGCCCCCTGTCTGCCCTGGCCACCTCCTTGGGGCCATCACATCACCTGAGGGAGGGCGTCCCCCTCCCCCCAGTTATTCACACAGCCGTGGGACTGTGACTCAACGGTCGGGTTGTATTTTTAGCTTGTAGCAGGGGGAGAATTGTTTTGAGGCTGTTAATTTTGGGATAAAAACCTGCTCTCCAGAAAAGCCCTCAGTAAACAAATGATCCAATGTGTCTCTGTGGGGACGGCAGGTGCTCCCCGCCTGCCACCCACCCTTGGCCAGCCATCCAGGGGTCTCTGCGTCCCGGGTGTCCTTCCCGGCTTTACTTTGGTGCCAAGAGCCAAAAGAATCCGTGGAACTTTCCACATGAGAGCTTGTGACAGGGGAGAAGAGCCTCGGGGTCCGTTTGCAACTTACTTAGCAGAAGAAGACAGGGTGTCTTTGGGGCTCACTAGGCAAAGGAGGCATGAAAGTCGAAGGACACCCTGAGTCCCAGACTGCTGTTCGGGGTGTCCACCTCACAGCCGCACACCGAAGTTCTAGGCAGGCCGCGGTACCAGTGGGTGCCGAGGGGGCTGTGGCATGTGATGGGTGTTGGAACTCGCAGACAGGAGAGGCAGTGGCCTGTGGGACTGGACGTCCTCTCAACATGAGCTGGGGTGTGGGTTCAGGACCTTGTGCTTGCTAGAAAGGTGCTCTACCCTGCGTCGTGCCACCCACCCTGTTCTTGCTTCTTGCTCTGACATGCATTTGGACTGCAGTCCTCCTACTTTGTATTGATGGTGGGAGCTTGGGTGATAGGTAAGAGAGACATCTTGCCTGGCTTCTTCATGAAGATTATGTCTCATGGACCTTTTTACCTGGACCTTGAACTGTGGTCCTCCCAACTCAGCCTCCCAACTAGCCAGGATTATAGGTGTGATCCCAGCTTGGCTCTGGATCCTTTGCAGGACGTTAATTGTCCCTGGGGCCTCGTTTCCCTGGTCTCTGTGTGGATGGCATTGGCCCTAGTTGAGCTGATGTCTGCTGTGCCTATGGAGCTTGCCCACTGCTCTCCTTCCTCAGTGTTGTTCCTTGTCAATCCACAGAGGTGGATGCACCAGCCTGATTCTTTTGACAGTGTCCGAGGCAGTAGCAGGACGGGCAGGAAGAGCTGAGGGCCGGGCTGGGCGGGACACTGGGCAGAGCGCGCCAGCCTCTGATTGCTCTCAGCCGGTCATGTACCGCAATGTGGTGAGGGCTTAAGTGTGAGGAGGAATTGAGGGGGAGCCAGGCAGCCAGGGGGTAACCCCATGGACCTAAGGCCCCATCCCCACCTCTAACAGATCTCAGCGTGTGTACCCAGATCCAGGAGTACTATGTGCTCTGGGCGCGAGGCCTGTCTCTCAGCCTCCGCTCTGGGGCTTCCCCCCCATGCGTAGGCCCAGCATTTGGGGGGATGTGGGCTGGACAGCGGCAAGGACTTGTGGGCTTTGCTCTGTCCAGGTGTGAAGGAAGAGGGCCATGGCCAGCTAGCAGGGCCAGGATCTTGCAGTCCCTGCTGGGGCTGAGCCCTCTGCTCCAAGGGGTCCAGTATGTGAGGCAGATGCTGCCCACGTACCTGACCTCACAGCAGAACTGCTGGAGCCCGGACAGCCAGCCTCAGTCCCCAGGACTTGTGCTGGCCCCACAGGGAGCAATGTTTCTGGTGCCCCTGGCAGTGAGGCCTCAGGCTTTGCAGCTCCTTGGATGTCAGGGGCTGGTCTCTTGGGGTGATGAAGTGGGGTGGCAGCCATCCTCTCTCTCGCTTCCCCTTCAGCCCTTTGGCCTCTCTGGTGCCCCTCCGGCCAGCCCTGGGGCAGGCTCTCAGTGACTCATTGTTCAGCTAGTAGGGAAGAGATGAGGTGTTGGAAGTCAGGAAGATAGCTCTTCTCCACTTCCTGACTTCCTGAGTTCAAGGAAGGCTGGAGCCCCGCATGCGAGCGTTGGCTCCTACCCTCCCCAATCCTGGACCATCAGTGGAGCCGCAACTTTGTGCCACATGTGTCCCTGTGGCCAAAGCTACCCCATGTCCCTCAGTTTCCACCGGGGGCCTGTCATACTCTCCAGAGAGGGGACCATGCCTGTTGAGCTACCTCTATCCACTCAGCATTCAAATGTGAAGTGTGTGCTAGATGGAGGGGGGGGGGGGGGGAGGTGCTCAAGGCCGCCGCTGACACCAAGCAGACTGCTAGGCCAGAAGGACAGGCGGGCAGTGGAGGCCAGGCTTGAGCCCAGGGTATCTGTTTCATGCACAACTGTAACAGTCTCTGAGTTGATACAGGATTCTACAGGAATGCTGCAAAAATGTGCCCAGAAGTGTGTGACTGGGACACAGGGTGACATTAGCACACAGCCACCCCACCTTTTAGTAACCTAAAGACTGCACTGCAATCCGAGGCCCCGGGCACCTTCAAGCCAGCAGCTGGCAGCAGCCTACCTGCTAAATATTATATATATATATATATTCCGTGTGTGTGTGTGAGATGCTTGCCTTACATAGTGTACCAATGCTGCACGCAGACGGCCAGCCCTGTGGCTCTCTATCACCATCACCTGTGTGACTTCAGGCTGCTTACTTAACCTCTCTTAGACTGGTTGTCCCACCTACAAGGTGAAAAGAATGGAATTGAGCACACATGCGTGCATACATACACACATACACACGCATGCACGCACACATGCATGCACACGTGTACATGCACACAGCCCTCCCCCTGCCCTCCCCCCCCCCCCGCCCCAAGAATGGTATAGCTCTGTGGCTGCTTCTGATTGGACCTGGCCGTGTGTGCTGAGCCCTTGCTCCTTGGGTTGTAATCTCAATATGCCCCCTTCCAGGAAGCACAGGGCCAGTGGGAGGGGAGGCTGGGTAACTCCCTATCGGGTCCGGGCATTCGCAGCCCTGACTGACAGACAGTGCTCAGCAACCACTAGTGGTATGAGAAATGGGGACAGGGGCTGCTGAATATGGGGGTCTGAATTCCCTGATGAGATCAAAATGAAACAGAAATAAAAGCAGCCAGGCAGGTACAGTGGCTCATGACTGTAATCCCAGCTGGTTAGGAGAGTGGGAAGATCCTGGTTTGAGGCAAGCCCGGGCAAACAGTGAAGCTTCATCTCAACCAGCCAGCCAGGGGTGGAGGTTTTGATCTGTGATCCCAGATCAGCCCAAACACAAACATGTTATGTAAATAAATAAAAGCAGAAGGCTGTGGGTGTGTGGCTCAGGTGGAAGAGCGCCTGCCCCGCAAAGCGTGCGTCCCTTTCTGTGTCCCAACCTGGTACCAGGGAGCGTGGGTGGGAGATGCGCAGGCAGGCTCACACAAGTGCACTTTTGGAAGTAGCTGGTGCCAGAATACGGTCACAGGCTCTGGGCCACACGGTCAGGCACAGCGGCCAGCGGCAGAGCTGGGCCACACTGCCGACGTCACCCACTGGGTTCCGTGGCTATGTTGCACATGGCCAAGTCCCTCAACAGTAACAGGAAGGCCGCAGGGCCACCTCTGCTGACCCCACAGGAGGCCCGGGACGAGATGCCGCGTTCCCTCCCCTCCTCCCCCCACCTCTAGCCTGGCAGCCTCCCTGCCCCAGCCTCACCACCACTTCCTTCCTCCTCCCTGCAGATTGTGGCCGCCATCCTTGCCATTGCCGGCATCGTGATGATGACCTACGCCGACGGCTTCCACAGCCATTCTGTCATCGGCATTGCCCTGGTGGTGGGCTCCGCCTCCATGTCAGCCCTGTACAAGGTACACACAGGGAGGGAAGGCTGCCCATGCTGGCCCTTCACCCAGGGAGCTCCTGGCGGGCCCCAGGGTGTGGGAAGAAGAGCGTTACCAAGGGCTGAAGAGGGCTGGACAGCATCTGTGCTGGGCCCTGCCACCTGGGCCCTGACACCATCAGTGGCCACGCACCCTCACAGTGGTTAGAGTTTAGGGTTCAAGCCGCTGGCCTAACTCTCATCCGCCCCAGGAGAGTTGGAGACTAGAATATCTAGTGCAGCTTGGTCAGGTAAATCTTTGGCCACGCAGATTTTTGTGGCCACCAGCCAGCGTGAATCCACAAGGAAGTCACTCATTTCTTGTGGGTTGAATACACAAAAATACAGCTGCTATGGTATGGGGGTTGAAATGTTTGTGAAGTTGGTACAGTGGCTCCTACCTGTAGTCCTCGTTACTCTGGAGCTCAGCCCAGTTTTCAAGGTCTCATCTCAGAGAGGAAGAAGTGGGAGAACACCGTCATAATATTTAATACCTAGCCCGTGAAACTAGGAAAATTGAGGGGAAGGGTTGGGTTAGGAGGGACTGGAGAGAGCAACGGAAGGGGTGATACCGATTATAATGCATTGTACTTATAAACTGATTTGAGGAATATTTACCCCTTTGTACAACTACCTAAAGACAATAGAAATGTGATTGTCAACAATAAGAGAAAAAGAAAGGTCCCACCTCTGTCAGCCGGGGCCCAGGCAGCCTCACGCCCCACCCCAGCCGGTCTCATGCCCTCTGCCCCCACCCCCTCCCGCAGGTTCTGTTCAAGCTGCTGCTGGGCAGCGCCAAGTTCGGGGAGGCCGCGCTCTTCCTGTCCATCCTGGCCGTGTTCAACGCTGTCTTTGTCACCTGTGTCCCCGTCGTCCTCTACTTCACCAAAGTGGAGCACTGGAGCTCCTTCGCCGACATACCGTGGGGAAACCTTTGCGGGTTTTCCCTTCTCTTGTTGAGTAAGTGGGGCCCTGGCCCGAGCCCCCAGCAAAGCCGGGGAGAGGCAGGCTGGTGTGGAGGCCATGTCCTAAAGGAGAAAGGAAAAGGGTCCCTCGAATACCCCTCGATTGCCCAGGCCACGGTGTTAGGCCTGTCCCCCAAATCACAGCTGGACAGGGAGCAGGAGAGTCAGGCATAGAGACCGCCTTGACTAGGCTCCATCTCCCTGGTCACCTGACAAGGTCACCAGGGCTCCACGAAGGCCACCTGCTGAGCAGAAAAGCCAGAGCAGAGAATGGGACAGCAGGAGAGGAGCACAGCTGGGAGGAGACCCTGTCCCCATGGCCGGTCCCCATGCCCAGCAAGTCCTCCTGGCCAGCCACAGCAGGGAAGGGGGAGGAGGAGGCAGGGAGGAGGGGAGGGGGGCCAGCTGAGTGAGCTGCCTTGAGCCTGACTGACACCCCGGGCCAGGCACTTCACCCCTTGAGAAGCTGGGTGCCAATGACTCCTGTGTTCCGCAACCTCCATTTCAGCATTCAATATCGTATTAAATTTTGGGATTGCTGTGACGTACCCAACGCTGATGTCCCTCGGGATCGTCCTCAGTGTGCCTGTAAATGCGGGTAAGCTGTGCCCACCTGCCTGCTTGTCACCGACGTGCACACACAGCTCACACACGCATGTGCTCACTTAGATGGCCTTATATACACGCTCTCACATGTAGGCTCACACATACCACTCACACATACATGCTCACATGCAGGCTTACCCCGCTCACACATGTTCTCACATCCACACACACACATTTTCACATTTGCACTCACACCATTTCCTGTTGTCCATGGTGTATGAAGCGTGGTTAATCTTCTGCCGAGAGAGCACGTTCATGGTGCTGCACGCTACATACACGGTGCCTCTGAGGAGGACTGAGCCTCGGGGATCTGCCGAGACACAGAAAGTCTGCAGTTGTCTCGATTTAATCACGGAGGAGAGCAGAGCTGAGTCTCAGTGTTATTAGATACAGAAAACTATGCTTCGGTTTTTGCAAGTGACTTTCTGGTGAGACATTGGGTCGGGTGCGGTGCAGAAGCACATTGAACTGAGCAGGCGTGGACAGCCCAGTTCCTCTGCCCCAGAAGGAAGCCAGGCACCATTGCCTGGTTGCTAGGACTTAGCTTGCTCTGGGGCATACACACATACACACACACACACACACACACACACACACACACACACACACACACACACACACACACAGTGGACGGCTTTTCCAAAACTTGTCCACCTGCCCCTTACCTTCTCCTTCGGCCTGGCTCATGCTGGCTTCAGTTCTGGACTGTCTGCGCAGAATCTCCTGACCTCATCCCCAGCTCCCGGTCAAGTTTGCTCTTCAAATCAAATAGGTGAAACTCTGTTTTTAAACTATTGAAGTAAAGTATGTCCTTACAGACAATGTGAAAAGGACCAAAAAATTTTTTTCTTATGTGTGTGCTGATTCTGGGACTTGAACTCAGGGCCTGGAGGCTGCCTCTGAGCTCTTATTTGTTTTGCTCAAGGCTGGTGTCCTATCACTTGAGCCATAGCTCCAGTTCCAGCTTTTTGGTGGTTAATTGAAGAATCTCACAGACTTTTCTCCATGGGCTGGCTTTGAACCTTGATCTTCAGATCTCAGCCTCCTAAGTAGCTAGGATGACAGGTGTGAGCCACTGGTACCCAGCCTACCCCAACTCCTCCATCCCCGCCCCCCCAAAAAAGAACTTTAAAAATATCAGTACCATTTTCCCTATAGGACAGCAAGAGGCAGCTAGAATTAAACTTTGCTACACTTCCATCTAAATAAAGATCCCAACTACTCCTGAGCTGTTTTTCTCTCAGACACGAAAAATTAATGTTTAAACTCAGGTGCTGGATTTTGGAGGTGATACGCAGAACCAACTTCAAGATGATTTGCTGCACGCGGCCCCAGCCTGCCTGGCACAAACTCCTGGTGGAGGATTCTGGGGTCCTGGAGGACCCCAACCCTCTTGGCCGACCCTCCATGCCCAGTGCAGCGGCCGCCTGGTCTGTGGCTCAGCTGCTGACTTCACTCTGTTTCCCGCAGTGGTGGACCACTACACCAGTGAGATCGTCTTCAATGGCGTGAGGGTCATTGCCATCGTGATCATCGGCCTGGGCTTCCTGCTGCTGCTGCTGCCGGAGGAGTGGGATGTCTGGCTGATCACGCTGCTCACGCGCCTCAAAGTGAGGAAGAAGGAGGAGACGGCAGAGAGCGGCGGGGACCTGAGCTCTGGCCCCCAGAGCAGGGGCAGAAGAGCTCGCCCGTCCTTTGCACGCTGAGGCTGTTCCTCTGGGACTCTGGGGGATGCCCCCATGGTAAGGATTTGGAGGCCTGTTCCTGACAGAGGCCCCTCAGTTGGGTAAGGTGTACATACCTGTACAGTTTTGGTAATCTGCGGTAAATTCTATGGTATTTATTGGCATGTCCAATTTGCTTGCACTTTTCCATATCAGACCTTCCACTTAAGGGTTCCGATGACATACGGAAGATGGAAGAACTCCTCAGCGCTTCTTCAATGAATGTAAAGTCATTTCAGATGAGCCTTACATCGGTCGTCTGGATGACAGGCAAGCTGGACAAGCCAGGGCACATGTCCTGAATCTTAACAACTGAAAATGACATTGTACACTGTGATTATTTTTCAGCTGTAGTAGGTCATATTTTGTTTTATACCAGAGCTGTACTCTTAATTTTAAGGAATTTCAATGAACCAAAAGATAACTGTCAGTCTGAATGGGTAACTGGGTTGATGGGTGGATGGATAGATGGATGGATGGGTGGGTAGATAGGTGGATAGATGAATGGGTGGATAGATGAACGGATGGATGGGTGGGTGGATGGATGGATGGATGAATGGATGGGTGGATGGATAGGTGAGTGGGTGGATGGATGGATGGATGGGTGAGTGGATGGATGAATGGATGGATGAATGGATGGTTGAATAAATGGACTGATGAATGGGTGGATGGATGGGTAGATGGATGGGTGAGTGGAGGGATGGATGGATGGATGAATAGATGGATGGATGGATGGATGGATGAGTAGATGATGGATGAATGGATGGATGGATGGATGGATGGATGGATGGACAGATGGTGAACAGATGCATGGGTGGGATGGGAAACAATGAAGCAGGAAAGAACATTGGACATAAAAACCATGAGAAGACAGGCCCGTACCAGGTCACAGAAAGGCAAGAAAAGTCCAACCTTGGCCGGCCTTCTCTCTTGTGTCTTCACAAGTTCATGCAGGAGAATTTACAGTGCCTTCTACAGAATTTTCGTCTTTACCTGTGTGAAGCGAGGTGACATTGTAAGTCACTGGCGCTATCTTATCATTTAGATGTAGACTTCTCTAGGAACAAGACTATCCGTGTGTGTTTGCATTCAGCATTGACACAGCCGGCGACCGGCATCTCTAGAATGTGACTGGTGTACCGTGCCATGCGGGCATCCGGTAGACTGGGGGGAGGGGCTGCAGGTGGCTTTTACTTCGACACCAGTCTGAAAAATTATTTACTGAATCCATAAACCTTTTTATGAAACTTTTATGCACCTGGCTGTTTACTTACACAATTTAGGTCTGCCAGAAAATTCTATCTGTGATAGATCTATAAAGAGGGATGGGGTTAGAGTTTACTATTTTTGAAGTTTACATTGTTACATATGAAACAGAAACATTATTTTGCAATGTTGTCATAAGCCAATGGTGCACTCTGTGGCAATGGCGTCTTTTGTTTGGGGTGGGGGCGGGGCAGGGGCTAGAAGGGGCATTCATGACCTAAACTTTTTAGCAAATTATTATTCTCAGTTTCCATTCCCTGTTTGGCCAAATCAATTAATAAAATATTTGAAACAGAAGCATGGCATGCCGTCTGGGTGGCTGTAGTGTCGCTTCCCGCTGACTGTGGGAGACTATGTGCCCCCCACGCCTCTGCCCCTGCCCCAGCTGGGCCAGTGGACCCGCCTGGTACAGCAAGGGTGGGGGCAGAGTGGACTCTCACAGAAACGGTGCACAGAGCAACCACAGCTTGTGCAGAGCCAGTCTCAAGACAGCTGCTCCCTTCTTCCTCGCCTGCTGGGTCCTCTCCTGTCCCCCTTGAGGCGTCCATCCTGGGCGTCTGTTCTGGCTCACCTCGGTCTTTGTGCAACTACTTAAAGATAGTTTTAAAAATGAATTTTTCCGGATGCTGGTGGCTCATTCCTGTAATCCTAGCTACTCAGGAGGCTGAGATCTGGGGATCACAGTTTGAAGCCAGCCAAGGCAGGAAAGTCCACGAGATTCTTATCCCCAATAAACTACTTGGAAAAGCCTGGAAGTGGTGCTGTGGCTTAAGTAGTAGAGTGCTAGCCCTGAACACAGAGAGGCTCAGGGACAGGAATATAGACACACACACACACACACACACACACACACACACTGGGGTATACCACTACAAACCTAGTGAGACCCATGCACAGACAATTCTGGAAAGAGATTCTGGCGGTGAGGGGCTTTGGGTAGCACTGGGGAATGTCTGGTGGTTGCTTCAGAATGCAGCTGTCCAAACTCAGGGTGGAGGGCAGGGCACTGGGGAGGGGGCAAGAAACTCCCGCAGCCCTCCCCAGCCCCTCTTTCTCTCAGAACATAACTGCTTGGGCCCCGAGGGGTGCAAGCTGGCAGCTGTCCTGCCACATCAAATGGGGGCTGCCTCTGAGAACCATGGCTGCTCTCCTCCTGTGCCTCTAAGGAGATAGGGTGAAGCAGGAGGTACTCAAGGCCAGGGACACCGGGCCTGTGGAACTCGCTCCAACCCCGCCCAAGGCCGGCTAACAGGGAGTTCTTCATCTTGTTCTAACCGTGGCAGGCGGCCCTGACTGCTGGCTCAGACTGTGCTGACCTGCCCGGCTGGACAGCACCATGTGAGCTCCATCCAGAACAAGCATTGTAACACATGAGTGCAGTCCCACTCCCTCTGTAAGCCGTCACACGCAGGCACGCACCTGTTGGGCAGACTGTGCTGTGAGTGGACCAACTCCCAGACGGTGCCCAAGACACCGCCTTGCTGTGTGTTGCTTGCAAAAGCAGAAAGGAAGAGATGCGGCATGGTGGAGGTGAGGAGCGCAGGGCTGGAACTGGAGCGAGCTCTGGACTCTAAGGGGCAGCCCGAGAAGACAGCCCAGTCCAGCCTGGCCCTGCCCTGCACCTCCACCTTCGGGCTCTGGGATTCCTGCCCTTTACAAACAGATCTTCTGGACACACACAGTCCCAAAGTTCCTTCCAGCAAATTCTGCTTTGTTAATAGCTCAAGGCAGCAGTTCCACCACTTGAGGTAGAGAGCTGTGGATGGCGTGGGGAGGAAGCCAGGGATCCGAGGCCAGGCAGGGCCTCCTCCCCCATGGCCAGACCCTCCTGTCTTCGGGGAGCTGGGCTACAGAAGGGTTCCAAGGTCAAACTGCCTTGATAAATGGATACAAATGACTCATAAGAGAGGTGCCAATAACGTAAGTATAGAGTTTTTCCAAGTACAGAGAGCTTAAGGTATTTCTCTTTTTTTGCGGGGGAGGGGGGGGGGTCTGGTCATGGGCCTGGGCGCTGTTCCTCAGCTCTTCAACTCAAGGCTACTCAGCTCTTCAACTCAAGGCTAGCGCTCTACCACTTGAGCCACAGCGCCACTTCTGGCTTTTTTTTTCTGCTTATGTGGTACTGAGGAATCTAACCCAGGGCCTCATGCATGCAAGGCAAGCGCTCTACCACTGAGCCACCTTCCCAGCCCGAGCTTAAGGTATTTCTGAAGAAGTTTTAAGCAATAGTATTATCATTTTTCAAAACTTAGCATTGCAGACTTCTTTTAAAAAATCCTTTTCAAAAGAAGTACATTTCCTCTCATATAAAAATCCCCCTTTGCCCCTCCAAAAAAAACCAAAACCCTTGGGGTTATTAGACTCAGAGGGAATGAGATTTTTATGTAATCACAACATGTGATGAATTTGTGGTCAAGCCTTTCTTTTTATCCTCTCTCTCTCATTGTAAAAAGAGTGTACTCTTCCTACAGAGACTCTCGAAATGTGCATGATGCACAGCCCACCATGGAGCAGGGGCAGCAGAACAGTGGGGCCAGGAAAGGAGCTGGTCAGAAATGGCCACAGGCATCTCCCTGAGGAATGAACACACCTGGTATTTCTTTTCCTTAAAGGTAACAGAGAGGCCAGTGCACAGGAATGTGAGGCAGGGTGCTGAGAGCTTTGTCAGCTGCTCACACTAGAAGGGGCCTCGTGAGAGCACTTTAGGTCTCTGCAGGGCACTGTGGGACCCCAGCTCCTTCTTCCTGTGCAGCTGCAACTGTGCCAGACCTCTCACTAAGATGCAGAACCGTACCATGGGAGCCATGTGACCTTGGACTGGAACCTCCCAGCGCAACCTGGCCTCTTCATAGTGGGTCATCTTGGGTGCTTGTCACAGTTATGGAGAGCCAACAGACACTCCAGGTAACTTCCACCAGCGATGCAGGCTGCAGAGAGAGTTCTTACTACAAATGGCAAGGCTTGCAGGACACCTGGGCTTCTTCCCTGCTAGAAACTGAAGATGGGCTGCCACCTGAGCCTTTGGTTGTCAGGAATCTATTGTCCACATACATGGTAGAAAACCTGGCGGCCAGGGGCCCAACCTTGTGAACCTGGACTGCAGGCACACACCCATGGGTGCCAAATGGCTCATGCACGTCACGTCTAACACAGGCATACTGTGGGCAGGCGGCTCTTCTCTGCCATGTCTCCCATCTTTAACTGGCCTGGACCAGTGCTCAGTGGGAAGACCCACCATCCTGCTGATCATCGGAGAACAGGGCACAAATCCTATGAGCATTGCTGTGGTGTTCTTCTTCCATGGACACCTGCTTCTCCAGGAGAAGTTTGATTTTTCTTCTGCTCTCTTTTCTCTCCATTTCTGTGCACCATCAACTGGACTGCACTGCTGAGAAGGACTCCTTCACCCAGGGTTTGCGTTCCCTGTGATCTCATTCCACAACCCCCTCCCCCAGTGGGAGCATTGAACTTCCGCCAGGCAGCCAGCATCTTGCCCGAGTTTTGCAAGTGCGTATGTTTTGCTCGATGGTGAGGGCTGTGTGTGCTGGAATCCCTCAATGACAGATGTGCACGTGTGCACACCCATCACACACCTGTGTGCTCATTGGTCTCAGTCACTGCCACAATGGTTAGCTCATTCTCCAGCCCATCAGATTATTGTCTAATAGCTCAATTCGATGAGTTACCCATGAAAACCAATCCTCCTAGAGCAATCACCATTTGTTGACAGACGTCATCATCAAGGGGCAATGGGCTGCTGCCTTCCGTCTTTGACCCAGTGAGCTTGCCAAAACTGAATTTTTAGAATTCAGCTCTGTAGTCAGGCACTGGTGACTCACACCTGCAATCATAGCTACTGAGGAGTCTGAGGTCTGAGGATGGCAGCTCAGAGCTTTTTCCATGCTTAAAATTCCTGAGCACATTGGGACAGTTAACTCTTTAGTTGCTCCCCGGCTCTGGCTTACCTGGTGGTGTTACTGCTTTCACAGATTACTTTTACCTACATTCTTTCAATTTATAATAGTAAATTATATTTCATTCAAGCTCCAGTCCTGGGGCTTGAACTCAAAGCCTGGGCACTGTCCCTGAGCTTCTTTTGCTCATGGCTATTGCCCCACCTTAAGCCATAGCGTGACTTCCAGCTTTTTGGTGGTTAATTGGAGACGGACTTTCCTTCCCCA